TGTAGGTATAATCCAGTAACATTGCATAAAATCCATTAATATTTAACTAATTATGGATATGGTTGGGTTTACAGCTACTATTTTATTATGTTTCCTGTTTATTCCCTGATTTCCTTCCTTTCTTTTGTTCCTCTCTTCTTGCCTTTTATTGCATGATTTGAATATTGTTTTTAGATTTCTGTTTTAATTTTTCGGTCGACATTTTTGCTAGATCTCTTTGCTGTAATAGTTTGGTGATTGCTCTAGATTTCGTGACATGCAGCTAACTGTTCACAGGCCACTTCAAAATACCGCGTCATTCCAGGTAAAAACACAGAAACCCTGTGTGCATGCAAGTCTACTAACGCACACCTATGAGAGTCAGAATGATTGCATCTGCATCGACGAGAGACCCGTGATACATTGTGTCCCCTCCCCATATGTTTGAGATGAACTTGTTCTTCACTAGCTATTCCAAGTCCATTTCACTGTTGCTTTTCCTCCTTTTTTTGAGCTATTCAGACCAATATTTAGATCCAAGAGGTTAGGAATCTGGAGGAGTGTTTAAGACTGTGAACGTTCACTCTCATTTTTTAAAAAGTTTCATTTTGATTTTTTAAAGAAAAGTATTGTATATAGTTACATAGCCCAATTCAGCCAATGAAATCAGTAATATTCTGCTAACACCCCCCATAAATGTGGTTCTCTTCCTTCCCCCCCTCCCATCCTTCCTCCCTTCCTTAATAATTTCCTCTCCCTCCCTTCTCCCTGGTCCTGTCCCCATCCCTGACCTCCTTGTCGTCTTCAAAGTCATATCTTTTGGTATAAAAACCATGTTTCTTTTCCGTACTTTTTCCTTATAATAATGGTGTTATCAAATATTTGTCATTGTAAGATTGATTGTGTTGTCTAGTCATAATATATTGTTATAAATTTTGTTTCAAATAATCAGCATTTCTTGGAAGGAAGGTCAGGTGATGGCAAAATCCCTAAAAGTTTTCTCATCTTAAAATAAGGTCTTCATTTCACCACCATTCCTGAAAGACATTGGGTTTTAGATTAAGCCCCTTACGCTCAGTGTCTGAAAAATCTTGTTCCATAGTCTGCTGACTGCCATGGTTTCATGAACTTATCTTCCGAGTAACATCTCCCTGCTTCCCGAATCTCCTTACCCATGTTAGTCTGAAACCTGGGTCTGTGTTCAAGCAACTAAAGCCCCCGAGGTAGTTTAGAAAACCAAATCTACACGGCAGTGCATTGAATGGTAAACCATGACATCATTGAACATCTGCGAATGCACATGGGAGAATGGTACCGGCAGGCAGCAGAGTATACCCCCAACCATGTAGTTAGTATGTATTACTAATGCTTAGAGGTGGCTTGTCATAACTTGAGTGTACCCTAAGTTGGTGACTTCCTGTCCAGAGCTTGAAGCCTTGGCTGTAAACCTCTTTTTGTTTGCCCCCTCCACACCCCACTTCCATGTTCATGCTTCAAGGGAGTCAGCCAGAGACCTGAGACAAGTCGATCACAAAATCTCCTTCTCAGATTCTCTCTCTTGCCTGTGCTCTCCGTGTGGGCCATTCTGGTTGTCTTGGATTCCTTCTCCCACTCGCTTCTGCCAGGAAGGTGGTCTTTTTATTGCATTTGTTTTTCTTCCCCAATTTTGCCAGGTTTAATGGAAGTTGTGCATGGGACTATTTGACTCTTGCGTTTTTTTCAAGTGATTCTTCCTTGTGTTTGCCCCTCTCCTTTCCAAGTGATTCTTCCTTGTGTTTGCCCCTCTCCTTTGGATTTCCGTCTGAGGATCTGTTTGTGGTCTTGGACCAGTTGGAGCCTCGTCATACCCACCTTGCTGGGGTGAAGGCCCGCATGGGCAGTTGAGCCATTAGCTTGATCTTGCTTCACCCAGTGAAGGTAGGCAACGTATTTCTTCCTGTAAGCTGGGCCACCTGGCCAATTGGCTGGCCTTTCTCACGTCCTTGCACAACCTGCGCTTCAGCATCCCTGCACATGGGAGGGACCAAACATTGGATTTCCATCTCAGTTCCTTGCAAAGAAGGGGGAAGACTTCATCTTCCTGAGCACGTGGGGCGTTCATTGAAATGCCTTTTCCAGTTTGGGGTTAATCCGAAGTCACAAAGGGATTGAACTTGTACTGTTGGCATGGCCCTTGTTCTGTTATTTTCATGACACCGTCCCTCTCATGAGGAGCCCTGGTGGCATTGTGGTTACGTGTTGGGCTGCGACCGACAAGCCACCCGCCAGCCACTGCTCAGGAGAAAGACAGGGTTTTTTACTTCCCGTGAAGTGTTACACTCTGGGAAAGGCACAGGGGCAGTTCTGCGCTGCCCTCTAGGGGCGCTGCGAGTCAGGTGTGAGTGCTTCTAAGTTGAGTGGCTACCGTAAGACTGAGGTCCTCAGGTTGCAAATCATGGTACCTTCATCTCTGTAAGGCTGATCCTGTTTCCCTACCTAATTCCACACAGGGTTTCATACAGCCACCCCATATTTTTTTTCTTTACTGATGCCTCATATTTCCACAAGAAGCGTTTGGTTCCTTTGCGTTGTGCATCTCTGACGTGCACATGGAGAGTTCTCATGAACCCGGACCAAGGATTTGGGGTGATCTCCCCTCTGTTCACGGAATCCCGATTGGGGCATATGTCCAAACATTGTCTTTTATGCCCCTCCACCATAGGCCCTAGCCCAACATTCTGTGACCTCCTTGTGATTCGGTTCTTTCCTTTGAAAAGGGGCAAGGCTCTGGGATGGCCAAGCTTGTTCAAGGTCAGGGCTCTTCTGCCTCTCTCTTTCCCAGTGAATAGGAAAGTCCAGATGTTGCTGGGGAAGCTGTGTGTGTGTGTGTGTGTCCCTGGCCCTGTGCCACACCCTTCCCCCATCCAGAGCACCAGGCGATACACTCAGCGCCCATAGATCTGTCAGGGCCTGTCAGCAGCTAAGCAGTCTGGGAAGCGTTCTCTTCTTTACACGGGTTCCTGTTTGCCAGAGGCATCCGGCGGTCTTCCCCTTCCGGAGGACGCAGATTGTCCGAGCGCTGGGGTCCCGCAGGCAGAGGAGGAGCCACTGAGTCACTGCCCACATTCCTCCTTACAAACCAGGGAGCTGCTCTTGGCATAACTAGGATCTTAGAACCATGTCCCAACTTCAGTTTTGACTTTAAAAAGAGATTTAAAACCACACACCTGCTTTCATTGTTTTCTGGCTATACATGGAATATGCTTGTTGAAAAACATCTATGCATTTTCTAATTCCGTAAGGATTTATTGAGCACCTCCTGTTTGCCACACTTCGAGAACACAGCCAATAAGCTAGACATGGTTGTGCCTCATGCTAGAAAAATACTATAAACGGTAAGAAAATATATAGAAGAACCTTTTTAAAAAGTACTCAAAATTCTAAATATAATCACTGTCAAAACGTTGTTTTTTTGGTTTTGTTTTAAATCTTGTGTGATTTTTCATTTTTGGAATCTGGGCATACTTGCTTCATCTATTTTCATTTCCAAGTCTTCACCTCTCTTGCTTCTTTTCTTTCTTTCTTTCTTTCATCTCCCTATGAGGTGCATTTCCAGTTCTTGGGCATCTAATCTTCAAGCAATGTGAATTGTTGGGGGGTGGGGTTGGGGGGTGGGGGTGGGCGAACTATTCAAAATGCTAATTTTAATCTCAAGTGGCTTGTTCTGCTTTATTTGTTTGGGATTCAGAATTCTTCACACCTATGAAATACTAATTATTAAGTTAGAGAGGTATTTCCCACTAAATAAAATTAATAGACTTACTCATTTTATAGTTTAATGAGAGGGTGTTAAAGTTGAGCTGCACCTTATTTATAATTGCAGGGGAAAAAAGATAAATACCTAAATGCCCATCAGTAAGAAGCCAGTTAAATAAGTAAGGTATGCCCATACACTGGAATGCTGTGAACACATTAAAATAGTTTGTTAATTTAAAAATAAAACGAATAAACATGGAAGATATTTTTTAAAACCCTATTGGATGAGGAGCCAAAAAGCAGTTTATAGTATAGTTTAGGGTATTTAATTTCATTTATGTAAAATTAGATGCATATGCAACTATATAAATAGAAAGCTATTTGTAAATATTCCATCAATATTCAATGAATATTTCTTTAACACTATGGTTGGCTAGGTTTTCTAGACAAGCAAAGCCAGCGAGGGAAACCTACATACTTTTACATCAAGGAAGTGGCTCACACAGTTGTAGAAGTGGTTACATCCAGTCAAGGTCAAGTCCATGAGTCAGATGTTAAGGCCATTCCTGACTCACGTAACTGCCAGGAAGATGAGCCAGGAAGCAGGAAGCCCAGAGGCTGGTGGAGGCAGAGATGGATGAATCCACGGTCAGCAAGCCAGGCTTATGGCTGCAGAGTCAAATGCATCCCAGGTTGGCAGGCAATATGGCAGTTCCTTGATTGCACCCTGGTTCCACAGGCACTACAGTGGGCTGTTTGTTGTTTCAAGTCTAAGTTGAGACAGGAGATGCAGGATTCATATCTGCATGAATGGAAGAAGTCTTCTCCAAGAGTCAGTTTAGCATCAGACCACTCCCCTGATGAAACTTCTCATCAATTGTACTGAGTGGGACCTGACCTGATTTGGGAGTGGGCACACACTCCACACATGGCATCCCACAACTTCTTGGCTGTCCTCCCAGAAGATCTCTCCATGGAGTTGATGACCTTCTATGAGATCTCACATCATGGGGAATCCTCGCCCGGCCAAGTTGACACAAAAACTCTCTCTTATAAAGTGGGCACTTGTTGCTGTCTTTAGGAGCCATCAAATCAAGTTCAGCTCATAGGGACCCCGTATGACACAGTGTAGCTTCCCTTTCGGGTACTCAGTAAGTAGGCTGGGATAGCTATCCAGGTCTGAGAAAAATCCAGACGCTGCATATAAATTGAATCATGCTGATTTTGGAGGGAATATAGTTGCTTGAACAATGTTTTTTTTGTTGTTGTTTTTCCTTCATCTCTAGAATAATGAGCTGCAAAGCAGGTTGGACTACTTAACAGAAACCCAGCTTAAGACTGAAGTGGAAACCAGAGAGATTGGAGTGGGCTGTGATCTCCTACCCAGGTATTTAGGAATTTCCTGTTTTTCTGACTCAAATTCCTCTTTGACTTCAGGAAATACTTTCCTGGGCTATTATTGCCCAAATTTCTTTCTTTTATTTTTTTTCCCTATAAAAAACATTTCTGTGCAGTGACATGGTGGCTGCTGAGGGGTGTGTTCTGACTGGTTTCTGTGGGAGCAGGGGCCGTGTGCAAAGTGGAGGGGACAGAGGAGGGAGCTGGGCAGACGCTGCAGACAGAGATTAGGAAGGGCGTGTGTTTGTTCTTTCATCCAGCGGCTAGTGAGTATCTCCCCTGTGCCTGACGGCTGTGATGTAGAGTGGATTGAGATGTGGTTCCTGCTCCCAAGCACAGTTCGGGTGGAGGAGACTGGTGGGGAAGCTGGCATTCATCACACGGTCAGAGGGACTAACAAGGTGTTTTAGTAGTACCGAGCAGCCCTCGTGTCATAGTGGCTACACACTGGGCGCACGGTTGGCAGTTTGAACCCACCAGCCGCTCTTCGGGAGAAAGACTTGGCTTTCTATTCCCCTAAAGAATAACAGTCTCAGAATCTCGCAGGGCCAGTTCTATTCTGTCCCATAGGGTCGCCGTGAGTCAGAATTTACTGGATGGTAGTGAGTTTGCGATTTAGAGTCTAGTCATATAGAGGAGGGGAGGAAGGTCTCAACTTTGAAGCGCGTTTATTCTGTCTCGAGTGCCATAACAGAGTATTGTCAAGCACTGGATCAGACTCCTAGTAAATGATTTGTTCTGGAAGCAGATGTTCAGTAACTGTAGCCTGATTTCTCCAGTTGCATTCTCAAGCTGAAGGACTGACCCATTTGTTGTTAAACTACTCCCAGGCCCATGCCTGGGTCTCTCCCTGCGTGAAGTTACCAGCTGTGACCTCTTAACTTGTATTTGCTAACTAACCCACCAGCTCCAGGGACTCGGAACCGTGCCAGAACCGTGCCACAGGGCCCGTAATCTCATGTGGCTTGTCACTAGGTCCTCAGAAGGACAAAGTACCAGACCCACTGTGTGTAGGAGGTGGTATTCTTATATACTCTCAGCACCATCAGTGTGTGTCCCGTTAGATGTTGTAATCACCCATAACAATGGGGAATCTGGAGTTTCTAATGATTACATCTGGTAGGAATGATGATGAGCCAGTGATCAAGTTAGCATAAGGGATGCCTCCGGGTTCTCCTGTTCGTGGCCAGAAGCAAGATGCCTTCCGAGAGATCTGTCATCCCTGGAGCCTCGGTTCCCTGGTATGTAAACTCAGAGTCTGACCAGATGACGTCCCAGTTCTCTTCCACACCAGCCGCTGTGTGTGGTTGCTGTTGCTGATCTGCCCTTGAGCCAGGCCCAGCCCTCTTCAGTGCACAACGATGCCAGACTGTGGTAACCCAACGTGTTTTCAGAAATACAGTGAGCCCTCGTTGATCGTGGTTAATCGGTTCTAGACCCTACCGTGATAAATGAAATTCCGCGAAGTAGGATTCCTTATTTGTAAATCAAATATTTTCATAGTTAGAGCATAGAGGACATGAAAAAACACCCTTTAGTCACCATTACACTCGTATTACCCAATTTATTAAACGAAAAAGGGAAAATACGGTAAAACATTTTGGACGTTACAATTATCATTTATTATTTATTATATTATTTATGGCATCAAGCGTGTACAGTATGAGCCAATCAGTGGCAGTAATGACAGAGCATGCGCTGTTACGCAAAAACAGCAATAGAGTGAAGCCGCGGAAGTCGATGCGCGAAGTGGCGAGGGTTCACTGTAGATAGATCTCTAGTCTGTGTTTTTCTAGTCTGTGTTACTCTGGAAGCTTCGCTGAATCCTATTAAGCATCACAGCCATACCCAAACCTCCACTGACAGACAGGTGGGGGCTGCACAGGAGGTGCCTTGGCTGGGAATTGAGCTTGGTTTCTTGAGTAGAAGACGTGAATTCTGCTCCTGAACCCTCCCTACCCCCCCACCCCACCCCCAATTGAATAACAAGTCCCCCAGTCCCTTTCTTGTTCTTATTTGAATCACTTGTCTTTGGATGGAAATAGGCAATGTTATCGTCCTGATGTGATTAAGGAGAGAGGTGTTTTACTCATGTGAAGATCTACAGTCTCAGAAACCACAGGGGGCAGTTCTAGCCCGTCCTATATGCCCTGTATGGTAGCTATGAATCGGAATCTGCACTGCTTGGTTTGGCTGGATGTGATTTACAGAAAGGTTTAAAGAAAGAAAACAACCAGAGAAAAGAAACTGTAAGTTGAGTCGGGGTCTCCTCAGTGTGTAATCTTCCATGCATCATAAGCACAAATAGCCCAAAAGAAGGATTGATGGTGGCCAGGGGCTCTTCTTTCAAAATACAAAGAGTTGGTCATACCTTGCCCCCTTAAAAAAAATTCAAGAACCAAATGGCCCTGTCTTCACTAATTGCCCACATAATAAATCTTGCATGGCTAAGTCGGGTTCAAAACTGTGCCTGAAACCAATAAATTGTTTGTTTTCTAATTCCCACATTTTGGCTTAGAATAAGCTTTTCAATTTGTATGCCGAAGTATAGCCCGAAGCAAACTTTTACAACTCAGTTATGAAACCGCAAAGTGGTTTTCATAATGGAAGTGCTGACAGACCCTTAACTTATGGTCACAGTGAACTTGGAAGTCACCTCCATATCTGAAAGCAGCGTTTCCATAAATGTAGTGTTTGGTTTCCCCCAGGATCCATCTCAGGGCTTTAACTACCTGGGTCAGTCAGCAGAGGAAATGAAAACTACATATCCGCATTTCCAAAAAGGCACAGCAGTATTTCATTTGTGTCCCCGCACGGCTTTATGAAGTGCCTACTGTGTGAGAGGCACCCCCGAAGTCTTGGAGAGGGGCAAGGGAGGTTTAGAGATAATCAGTGTGGCCGTTTTCAGCCTGTGCTTCCTGGCACTGCCTTGCTCCTGGGGAGGTTTTGGGGTGCCATGGGGAAGTGGGGGGAAAGCGAGGCTGGGGGTGTCAGTGAGGAGCTGACCTATGGGATGCCCAAACCCCAAAAACAATCTGAGTAAATGTTGAATTAATTCCCAATAGTCGGAGTTGTCTTGACGGCCGTGAGTTTGGTATGGAGAGGTGCTCTCTGAAATCAAGGGCTATTGCCAAAAGTAAATTGGACCCTCTGTAAGAGACGACACCACAAAGACAACAATTACTTTAAGCTACCGAGATGATAAGGGGGGGCAGGGAAACCAGAGTGTCGAAATAGAACCACCAGAGCATGGTTACGGAGAATGTTGACACTGTGTGCAAAAAGCCCCTAATGTCATTGAGCAATCAATGGAGACAGTGTCCAGTGAGAATGTCATGGCTGTGTACACGCTTACCAAATAGTAAGGGATCATTAACTCTTTAAAAACCAGATTAAAGCCCCAAGCAAACAAACACCACTGGGTAACCATTGGTCCAATCTAATGCCCTTGGCTTCACAGATACAAACATTGAGGCCCACAGAGATCAAGGCACGCACTGGAAGCCACCTTGAAGCAAGGTCCTTTGAGTCTGGGCAGCAGCCTCACCCTCTCATGACCACTCCGTGTCCAGTTCTCAGTCAATGGAGTTGCTGAATTGTGCTCTGGCTGTTCTAGCAAGATCTCTGGTGCTCACGTTGACTTAAACTTGGATGGAACGAATACGCGGCTACATGGCACTTTCCTGAACATGTTTTAGATTGAGGCTTTCAGAGTGTTTCAAACCAATAGGACTACGGAATGAAACTTTGATCATAAGGCATTTGTTCTCACCCTCAGTTCTTCTGCCAGGAAGGGCCTGGTGGTGTGGCCCAGTGGGACGCGGAGGAGTCTCAGGCTGCCTGGGTTCCCTTCCAGTTCAATTGCTAGTTGAACACAGTGTTGGGTGGGACACTTAAGCTCTTGAGAGTCTCCACCTTCCTCTGGAAAGTGAGAGGGAAGATGACAGGCTCTCAGGGCTGCTGAGAGATGGAAAGAAACCTTTGTGTATGAAGCATTTGGCACAGTAACTGGATGATGGTTAAGCACTCAATACATTATGTTATTAACTAGTATAACTAATAACTATCATTACCAAAGCAAAAGGGTTATTTTATTTTTAACTATTCCAACTATTACTATTCTTGTTGAAACCCTAACTAAACAGTGCATGGAGCATAAGTGAATTGGGCAAGTTCCTAAGTGTAATTTTTATTGGTGATAATTAGTCATTTCATTAAGTGGATTGATAGCCCCATCAAGGATACAGTGCTTCCATATGCCTAGAACTCTCTTTAAACTGTCAGTGGTTCGAAGGGTCTGCACCAGGGGTCAGCAAACTGCGGCTGTTCTGTGCATACATGTGGCTCTGCCACAAAATTTAAAACCTTGAAAGGATATTATTCAAATGATGGTGATTTTTTTTAAATCGCCACTTAAAAATTTAAAAAAAATTTTAATCGCCACTGTTAAAGGGTATTACTCAGATAATGGTGATTTCATTAGCTTTGAAATATATATTTGTGACTTTTGAAGAACTTTTCGGTTATTGTGGGACAGGATTGACTCTTCCATCTCAAAAGATTGCTGACCCTACTGTCCCCTTTTCAGGGAATAAAAATTGCTCAGAGACCCCCTAGTAATGAAAAACTTTTGTACTGTAGCCCTCAATTCAGGATAAAGTGTAGGTATCTGCTTTGTAGCCCCCGTGGATCTTGCCAGCGCCCCCCAGGAAGTAGTGCCACCCATTTGGGGAATCGCTTGTCTACAGGGCACATAGAACTGGAGAAGGCTGGTTGCTGATTGGTGAGGCGGCTGCCAGCTGAGACTCCAGAGGGGTCCCAGTGAGTCCCAGGACCTGCACGCAAAGCTTCTCTGTGGAGCAGCACTTGGCCAGCTCCTCCTTGCCCCTCACACCTGCAAGTGTTTCTGGTGTAGTGGGTAAGCACTTGACTGCTACCTGAAAGGTTAGTAGTTTAAACCCACATGGCAACTCTGCTTCCACAGGGATT